GGAGGAAGGCTCAGTATTAGTTAATGTTTTTGTTTAATTACAGGATAGAGACATTGGGCATTTGGGGTGCCATTTCCCATCCAGGAAGAATAAAACAGAACCCAGTACAAATGGGAGCCGGATAGCATGGGCAGACTGAGCTCCTTTGCTGCCTATTTGTATTAGCCCATGTGAAGAACTGTGTGAATACTTAGTGAAAAACTACATGCGATTTTCCCTAACATTTCCAGAAATTAATTGTAACTGTTTTAAAGTTCCAAAATGTCTGGTTTATGTTGCAGATTATTGTTCTTAGTGCTTTTTATGCTGTGTTGCTATGTTCTGAGTACAGCCAGAAATTCAAAGAATAAAAACCTTAGCAGGAATATGATCTTGTGTTGATTCAAAACTAGTCATTAATAAGAGAGAAAAAAATATACTTTAATTTATTCTACAGGATTACAAATTACTATTTTCTCCATAGCATTGTGTACATGAAACAAGGCCCTGGTTTCCCAACAGAGACTTCATCAAGTGTAAACCTTCTTAGATTTTATACTGGTCTTTTATATCTTTTAGTGCTGTCACCGGTTCTAAACAAGTATTTCCTAATATTCCTATGTATCATTCATAGTCAAACATTAGATTATCCAAAGCATACTCAACCTTTCAATGCTTAGTCTGTATTGTTGTGTGTGGTCATACAGATAGTGAGTTATTCAAAGAGTGAGCAACAATAAAGTAAAATCTGTCAAAGAAACACATTCTTTAGCTTGTAAAATATGCATATTTTGGAGGATATCCATTTTCAATAGCAGGGTTACTTAAGGTACTCAGAATAATTTCTTCTTATTCATATCCTTCTGAAGAATGAAAACAGACATTCATCATATGATCTTTCTTTGGGAAAATACTGAGTGAAGGAAACTGATTCCTTGAGTGGGAGGTTCCAGAAACAGGAGTGTTTGGGAATTTATAGATTCACTCTCAATATATAATAAAGGATTTTTAATTCAAACAATCTAGAGAACACTTTTGAAATACATTTTTTCAGGAATAAAAAAGTCTGTGCTGATTTATAATGAATATTTTTACATTTTCACAGCAAAATAAATAGAGACAATATTTTAAGGGACATTATGTATTCCACTTTAAATAGGGGATAAAATAAATCTTTGAAGTATTTTGGTAATGCAGGCTTTGCTAAACACATGCCCTTTCAAGGCTGAGTTAAAGCAATGTTATTTACAAAGTTTGAATATGATGAGAAGCAGAATAAAATTAAAAAATGTTATCTAGGTGACTCAATTTGAGCACTCAGCTGGTCTCCTTCAGACATTTACAGAGGGCTCAGATAAATGGACAGAATGCTTAAAACTGGGCTATCCATAATGAAAGTGCTGTGCTGTAAGTACTAAACACCCAAAGACAACACAAGTACTGAAGTCTGAATAGCAGCTCTGCATTGAAAAGCTAGGATCGTAAACCAGCAGGGAACCAGAGCAGCAGTTCATATGACTTACTAAGCACCCCAGCTGGCATAGGTTTTTCTGTGAGTGAATTGATTTTAAATTGAAAGGAAAGGAATGTAGAGGTAAATATCTATTTAACTTTTTCATTTCCACTGTTTTGAATTTAGTTTTTATCTTCTATAGCTTATATTCAAATTCAGAGTAATAATATTTTCTTTCCCAAATAAAAAGTTTATATATATATATATATATATATATATATATGTCTTGGTTTGGAACAATACATATATAAAATGCCTCAAAAGCAAGCATGCATAAAATTTATGCATAATTGTAGATGGAGTACATGTTGAAGTGTCATAATTCTTCCAGGATGGAACACACTACAAAGTAGTACATTGTTATGATGGTTTACATAGAAGCATCAAGACTCATGGACTTTTATCTGTGAGTTCAAAAAAAAGCTAAACATCTTTACTTGACCATTGACACAGAATGTAAAATATTGGTAAAAATTATTTTAGAATTGTAAATATGTAATTAATTTTTTGACCACTTCCTGAGAAATACTACATGTTACCTAAAGAGCATTCAAGGCTGCCATTTTGAGTAGTGGTGAGAAGGACAGTACTTGCATGACACTACCACATCAGAGACCTGACAAAATATAACTGGACTTTTTCTCATGAAAACAAAATGGTTGGTTTTTACAATGGTCCTTCCCATAATAAGACACTGAAAAATCTATTTCTTAAAATGGACCTGATAGGAAGCAAAACTGCAGGCATGGATCACCCAAAGTATTGATAAAATACAGGTCTTTCACATCTAGCCTGATATTTCTAATTTAGCCTGAAGTTATCTGCTGCTACCACCTAATAACTGTTTAGTAAGCATAGAAAATGAGCTTGATGTTCTTAGTCTGGACCAGTGGATGACAAACTGATATGCAAAATTTAATAATTTAATTGTAAGTTGATTTCAAAATCATGTATTCTGTTCACTAAAAAAAAAAAAAAACCAAACTTGTCTCGTCAAGAAATTTTTCCTAAAGAGCAACTTTAATTTTATGCCAGAAGAGGAAAGAAATTTCAGCACTAAATAGCAAAAATCTTCACTTCTTGTAGTGCTCTTACTCCAATTATCCTCATTTTGTGATCAACTGTCTTGGACTTGTGTCGGTGTGGTCCTCTCATTTAACCTCATAATCCACTTTCATTATTATTCACTTGAGTACAAACACAAGTCCCAGGGAAAGGTGATCTTGACATTCCCCAGTAAAATTTACCCCATAAAGCACAACTTTGAATCATGTTACAACTAGTCCTGAATTTAGTCCCTAAGCTTAGGTTAAAATAACTGATTTTTTACAATTACAGCACAAACAAAAAATAAAAACTCTGTGAAGAAAAAAATAAAAAAGGAAAGATATTCAAAATGTATCTATTATAAGTCAAGACAACAAAATATTTTGTTCTACTCAAGAAGAAAGATTGACACCTTCTAAATTTTATGTTGTAACAAGGACTGTCTTTGGCCAGTTACAACATTAGGGCCCACTTGCCCCTGTGGGGCTCTCTGACAGCACTTGTTTATCCTGTCTAACATCCAGGTACCCTGATGTTTAGGAATAATATCTCTTCACTTTACCCTTAAGAAGAAAAGACCTCAGGCTTTTCTATTTTATGCCTCTATTGAAGCAATGCAAAAGTTGGCAATTGGATCTAAATTTTCTTTTTTTTTTTTTTTTTTTTTTTTTTTTTTTTTTTTTTTTTTTTTTTTTTTTTTTTTTTTTTTTTTTTTTTTTTTTTTTTTTGGTAATTGGGTAATGTCAGTTGTCCTTCAGATTCTTTCCTTTGTATGGAAGCAGAGAAAAGGAAAATCTTCAATTTTCTTTTGTAGGGTTTTTACAATTCTACCATTTGAATTCAATTAATGGATAATCATTTTTCACTAAGGATACCTGACTATATGCTTCCATTTTCTGGAACACTTTTCTGGTTCTTGCTGCACAGACCATTTCAAGGTTTATCTTCAGACTATTCTAAATACTTGGAAGTACCAAAAGAGAAAAAACTTTGTATGTACTTTGTTAACAAACATGAGTCCAAAAATTCCTGTCTGATGATACTCCATTTTAATAGAAGAACATAGAAAACTTCCTACTTGGTAGAAGTGTGCATCTCACATCTCTGTTGTAAAGTTTTAACTGACTAAACTAGCAAACTAATTTAAAATAAATAAATAAACAGAAAGAAAAAAAAAATAAAAACACAAAAATACCCCAAAGAAACCCCAAACATAAACTCACCTCAACATAATTAATGTTATATCCAAGTAACAGAGATAATTGTGGATCTTCCCGTCCAACTGGAACATGAGCATGACACCATCAGTTTAACAGAGGTATGTTATCATTATTTTCAGTCAAGATGCTAGATATAGTAAAAGATATTCAACACATGCCGTTTTTTTTGCAAGAAGCAAATATTGAAAAATTTAGCTGTAGTGCTCCCACAGCAAAAATGGCCTTCTCTTTCAGTGATGCCTCTAAAAATATTTATATAATCAGGGAGTATTTTTGGAAGTATGTTCAGAATCTGTGTTTTTCCTTATCTACTTATTCTCATTAAAAGAATAAAATTATAGTTATTCATCATAGTAATTTTATTAGATGCTTATCTCACTTAGGTTATTAAAATACAAAAGCTCCTGAAGTGTCATTTCATACCAACCAACTAAACCAAATCTGTATTAAGAAGTTTCATTTTTTTCATATGTGGTATAGAGTGCTGCATATTCCCTGGGTTCACCTGTCTTTATCTGTACACTTTTTCTGGAGCCTGTTTGTAAGCTGGTACTCAGAGAATTTATCCTTTTATCAGGGCCATGTTCCCAGGTTGTGTTGATCCTATAAGGTCTGATATCATCTGTGAGATACATGGACAGTTTTCCACTCCAGTAGTGGTGGATAAAAAAGGGAATTCTACACATTTTGACAGTCATTGCATTCTCTAGTCCAAAAGGAAATCTGTATCGATTCTGAAATAGCTTGCATGCACTGATGTCCACTGGTCCAAAGTCTGCCTTGTCTTTATTGCTTTGCCTTGTCTGTTCTTTGACTCTACTTAGATTAAAAAAATGGGAGTAACCTAACAAATGTTCCAAAGCATTAAGAGAATACAACAGCATGTGCTTTAAGAAGTAGGGGATGACATGTAATACAACTATCAACAGGATTTTTTCCACAAACGTATTTGGGAGCCTAGCTCCCCTTGATTACTTTTATGCATCTAGGCTTCTGCATCTGTCTCTTAGGAAGATGATTTTCTAAACAGGAAATAAGTCTTAGAGGTGTAAGACTATGACCACTCAGTCTAAATGTCCCAGAAACAGGTGTTCCAAGGATTGACGAGATGTTTCTCCTGCTCTCCAGGAGAAAAAATTCTCTTCTCAGCAGAAGTAAATTAAAGCTTCTTGTATCTCTGGAAGGTCTAATTCTGTTCTGAAGTTTATTAGACAGTAAGTCTTGAAGAAAGAGAGGGTAAATGATTTGGCCCAGGTGATGATTGTGCCTACAGCAATCTGGAAATTTACTTGAAACAATAAATATATCTTGATAGCCAAATATCTTAACTACTCAGAGCAAAGAAGTGGCAAGAAGCCTATATACATCCAGAGAATTTTTCAGACATTCCTCCCAGACAGTACCTCAGGAGATCTACCAGTTTTCTAAATCTTAAAGTGCTATGTTCCGAATTTCTTCCATACACCTTCTTATCAGCTTGCAGAGTGGCAGGATATATTCTCATTCCAGTGCTGAAGCAGTCAATTCTTGGAGCTGATAATATCCTTCCGGTAAGCCAGAAAGAGAAGACAAAAGTTACTCAGGACAAAGCAAGCCAGAGGTGTACTGTTGGCTCCACAAAGTGAGATTTCACTCTATTGTTTCCCATACATTTCCCATCACTGCTAGGGAGAGTGTTGGGAAGGATGGATATTCATAAATAATACAGCCAGGATGAGAACGGTCCTCTCTGCTGGCTGGACAATGCCCTTGCCTACGGATGGGTCCAGGGGTCAAGTGGACTGTTCCATCTCACCCCCCAAAATGTATGGTTTACCTCGCACCTGTATCCCTTCCCTGAAACATCAAGTGCCTGTGACCCCATTGGCCCAAACCTTGTTCCAGCCCACCTTGAAGCCCCCCTGATAAGGGGTCTCCGAGGGGCCAGACGCTCTCTTGGATCTTCCCCCCTCTTAGGACCTCCACCCTCTCCTAGAGCATCCTCGTGTCTCTTCCCTCCCCCATCTCCCCAGGCCTTGCCATGTGCTGCATCTGGCAGCTCGAGGCAGGACCTTTCTCCATCCCTAATAAACCTTATATCCTAAGAGCAACCTTCAGAGATGTCTCGTCTCCATTCACCTAAACCGCCCTGGAGCCCCAGCGCTCACTACAGGAGAGGAACAAAACCCAAACAAAATTGCACCAAACCACATAACTGAACAAATCCTATTGGTTAAGTGTGAGAACCCCAGCCTTGCTTTGGGGCCTCATGTGGTGGTGAAATTCCTCCTCCAACCTGTGCTTCCAAAGAAAAACTCCGCAGGCTTAGCTGTTCAGTCTCAAGGCAGTTATCTAACAGATTATGCTAGTTATCTAACAGATATTGCTAGTTATCTAACAGATTATGTTCTTGGACTGCGGCTATTTGATCAGTGGCCTGGGTAGAGGCACACACACACACCCTGACATCCTCTCTATCTGCTGTCTTCTTCGTCTCTCTCCCCGCCCAGGGCTGCTGCTATCTTTTATAAGATATATTACATATAACATGTTTACAATTATTCCCCAATACCTACTACCTACGTTGCCAAGTGTTTTTCTACTCTAAACCAATCTGTGAGTGCCAACATCACCATGAACATGGAGGTAAGGAAGAAGAAGGAGGAAGAACAGGATCAGCCCACTTTCCTCCATCTTAGAACTTCTGACCCCCATGTACAAAGCGAAAACCCCCCTGTACATGTGTTAAAACCCCCCTGTACAGTACTAAAAAAATTTCCCCTCTACTTTGTAACTACTTTTACTATACTATCTAACCTTTTGTGATTGCTTGTTCCACCTCCAAAGTTGGTAATTCATTCCATGGCTCAAACTCAAAATCACAGCTGTTTTTCAGTTGTCTGCCAGGGTCTAGAATGCTTCTGACCAAGGCCTGGAACCTCTAAAAATGTCTGAGAGACATTTTGAGTTCCCACAGTTAAGATGCTTTGGCAGAAATCTCTTATGATTGCATGTTTATCATCAGGGTAGCCATGAAAAATGGGTAACACTTCAAGAACATATGAACACACACATCCACTACACACTGGTTAGTAGGATTGAAAATTTTGTGGAACACCGTGAATGGTGTTATGTGGTCCTGAGTACCTTCATCTGAAAGCAAGCAGAGAACAAGAAAGTTTCTTGAGGTTATGGACAACAACTGTGAGTGGATGTGTGCATTCTGTGAGGTGATACACATTGAAAACAGCTCTGTAAAGTACCATATGTTACATATAATTATGAAGTCTGTGTATTTTGTCTTTCAACACAAAATAGTGCTCATAGAAGAGAAATTTACTAGACCCCTGTACCTCCAAGGCTTTATAGGAACATTGCTTCATCTCTTAGAAAGTGAGCAGGCTCTATAGGAAACACCAGAAGCAACATCACTCTTGGTCACCTTGACCTGAAAATTTCAGGAGAATGAGAAATTTTAAAACATGGAAACAGAAATTATCTCATTTTAGTCCTGAAAACAAGCAAGAAATTCAGACTATAACTTCTATCTCTCTAAAGGTGTTAAATTCATTCAGTCAAAGGGAACAGACAGTCTCCAGCAAAAGGCCATTTAAAATTAAATTAGTTACCTTAGTTATTGGGAAAGACTATCTTATGACCAGAGAGCAAGCCAGGGGATTTCTAGACATCTAATTTTGCTAGCCAAACTTCATGATGTAGTTGGAAGGGAAAGTAATGCAGCAAAATACAAAATTATTTGGCATCCTGTGAATGTAAAGACTTAAACAGGGGAGATGATCTTCTTTTGCCTGCACAGAGCTTGTAGACAGACTATTAATTTTATTTTTTTTTCCATGTGATTATTCATCCAGTTCATATTTCTATTTCTTTGCATATTAATTTCTGATATACCTCTTTCTCCTGCAACATACAATGGTTTCTACTTTTAGTAGGCATTCCATTATTCCAAAATAAACTTTAAAGGGAGAAAGCTCCTGAAAATGGAAGACTGCAGCAACAGTTCTTGTAAAGAGTCATGTCATTATTAAAGGACCAGCAAAAAAAAATAGCCTGTGTTTTAATTAGATTTGACAGTTCCGAAAGCCCAAAACTAAGTTGCTTGGTTTTGCATTGGAAATCCTGGTCCATTTTTTTCTCTATTTTCCATAAACATCTTATGGGATGTCTGGAGAGTAGCTCTTATAGTTATGACTAATGATCCACATGAACAGACAGAGTGTTTGTGAGAAATTTGGGTAATATAATGAGGCTGCCCATGGGAAAGTCATTTCTCCATGTCTTCCACACAATAGAGGCATCAAAAAATGTTTGCAAATCCTTGCAAATCAAGCAAGATGAGGCATTACCTTTAAAAATAAGCTTAATTTTTGTAGTTGTAGGTGGGTTTATTTTAAAATATAGGATTCTTTCAAGTAAAGGAGCATTTCTATTCTTAATATTTATACATACAGAGATCAGCAAATGGTGATATCAGTGTAGACACTGAAGCAAAGTTGTAAAGTTCAGTTCAAGTTCAGGTCTAAGTTCATGATCTAAGAAAAGTGGTAAGAGTTTTACATAAGTCCTGTTCCCTTTCCTGAAAACCCAGCCTTTATTCCAGATCTTAGATTACAGAAACAGATAAATAAGTTTTTCTAAAATCTATCTACAGATTTCCTCTCTTTGTAGGTGCTTAATTTACTAGCTTTATGCAAAGTCTGGAACCTCTGAGTATCATATCTGCCAGTTACAGAAATCTCTTCCTCTTAGCTGTGAAAAAAAAAAAAAAAAAAAAAAAAAAAAAAAAAAA